TTGTTTTGAGGTTTTGAGGTATGCCTGACGAGAAGATGTGTCGTAATCTAGCGAACGTCGATTGACGCGCAGGGTGAGCAGCCCCCGCCCGCTGTAGCAAATCGCAGGCATCTGTGCGATATGCTAGGTAAGTAACACAGTTGGCACATTCTTTTTTTGTTATAAGTAAGTCCTATATGGGAGCAACTATAAGTGCCAGAAGTGTATGTGCTTCACTATAATTGAACCGGATGTTAAGTAGGAACATAGCCGAATATATGCCGTCTTATTGTTACGAGCGTGGAGTTCGAGACGATGAAAAAATAAAAATGCAGAGTTAATTACCAAAATGTTTTGTAAATTACTACTTTAATTACAGAAAACTAATTACAAATTAAAACCACACTAATAACAAAATACAATTGTCATACTGATCACTTTATTTCGCAGTAGTATCGCTTCGAAGTATTCGCCTGTATCGCCAACGCAACACTGACTGGGTCACGGTCTATACCGACCTTATATAGGGCCTAAGATAATTTCCAGAACCTTTCACTATAGAAACATCTAAAATGTTTGAGTACATACCGGTCCCGACTGACTAGGTGACGATAGTTCTAGAAAGTTCTTCCACGGAAAATTCTAGAAGGATTTTGGCTCTCCTAGTTCTGCTACTTGAAACTAGAGGACGCTAGTGGTAACTAGTGTTGCCATGTACCAGGTATTAATGGTAGCGCTCAACATTATTCTCCGCTTGCAAACCTCATATGCCACCGTTGTACTACGTTGATTGACAGACGAGGTACTAATGATCGAAAATTCTTCTGGGTGGTGGCAACGTTACCGACGACGGCTTTGCGTTGTAAGAATGGTAAGTAATCCAAGTAACACAAACCCTCTCGTATTATTGGCAAGCAGACGTTTTGGCGAAATGCTTTATGGTTTAGAATATTTTTAATAAATAGTCTGTCGTTGTACTTTTAATAAATGAGAATTTTCCGCAGTCCTTCTTTTGCCAGATTACTATAATGGTGTCTGCAAAAGTGAAAATGCTTTTGTTACGCTGACACAGTGCGATTTAGCAATTTTTTTTTATAGGATAGGGTGACAAACGAGCACACAGTCCACCTGATGGTAAGTGGCTGCTGTGGCCCATAGACATCTACATTTATCCTCGTTTGTGAATCAAAATGCAGATGCGTTGTCACCCGTGAGGACTAAGATGGAATGCCTCTTTTCCAGTAAAAAGGGTCTCCGGTTCTCTACACTCACCATACGAAACACAGCAGCATTAAGCTACTATTTTACGCTGGTATTTTGTGAGAGCGTGGTCCTTCCCCGGTCGAGCCGACCCATTCGTGCTACAACCATACTACTAATATAGCTGCAGCATGGCTCTACCACGTGTAAATTTTGTTATTATATAAATAGTAGAGTTTCATAATTACCAAGAAGTAGGATTGTAGTCAAGCGTTGGTTTATAGTAAAAACAAGTTATTACGGTAAAACTATAAACATTTTGATGTATATCCAAGATCGTTTCGATCTATTCAGCAATATGGTTCTAATTTAATAAAAATCATCTGTTATCTGTTTATTTTTTCCGTAAGAACGACATATAATAGAGAAATACAGTTACTGGGCAAGCTTTTTCAGCCATAACGACATAAGTGATTCCCGAATGGCTTTTTTATTTATCACGAGAACACAGTACATTTAAAACATAATTTTATCATTTCGTTTTAAAAAACAATAATCAACACAATCAATTTTATATAGTTCACCAATTGATACACTGCTTTATTTTGCAAACACATGAAGTTCAATGTTTGAAACTGATCTCCTGTAAAATGACGATTTTTATGTTATATCTGTCTTGCAAATAGAGAGCGATATACACACGCACATATGTATAGAATTATATAAAAATGAAATAAGCAGGTGCAGAGCTAAAAGGTAGGAGCCTCATTAAGTTTAAGCACTGCCCTCGCACTGGGCGGGCGTCTGTTATTTCACCGCCCTACCTCAAATAAAATCCAGATCTCAGTCGGAAGCTCGCGTTAGTTACGCTAACTGTTGCATGCTGCCAACATCGGAGAAAAAACTAAGTGCTAACACTTAGAAAAGCAAATTTTAAATATTGCTGGTTCCTGACCTTACAGAATCAAGCCCACAATCCAAAAGGTAATTTAAATTGTAGTTGCATTCGTTACTTCTTTGATTTAAAGTTAAAAATAATCATTTTTTCTGTACAAAATATTTTATTGTTTAATTAAAAATGCTTTTAATATTATGTTAGTTAAAAAAACAGATTTTTGGAATTACGAGATTTATTGAAAATAATTTGACATTGTAGTTATAAATTATTTTGATAAATATTATAAACGTAAATCTGTTACATTACTTTCAGAATCATCGAATCTGGAGGGAAATAAAATGACACAAAAAATAAGCAAAAGCGATAGAGCGCCATCGCGACCATTTATAAAAGTTTCACTTCCGGTGGAATTGTAAGTAACCCTAGCTTTATATAACGGATCGTTTTTTTTTTCTTTCAATAGCAAAACTTTTATTCTAATTAAGGAGCATATAATAAAAAATGTATTGTTTCTCTCATCTATAAATATGTTATAATTATGAGAGCTTAATTTTCTTTTTTCCGAACCGAATGTAAAAAGTATTTAGTCTTTGTGCTTCGTTTATTCGTATATAATCTTCGGTCAGTCTGTAAGTGATCGTGTAACTTATGATTAATTAGACCGATTGTGGTCATATTTTTTACACATTTCTTTTTGTTAAGTCGATGGTTTATAACTAAGCTAAGATTCGATAGGTCGCGCCGTAGTTATTAACAAATTCTATGTAAATGAACCAAAATGACATATTTGCAATATACGTTAGCTTAATGCTAAAAAAGGTAATAACAGAATCTGGACCCGATAGGTAGCGCTGTGGTAGTGTTATTGGTAAAATTTATATTAAGTCACTTAACGGAAAGAGCCGAACAACATATTATGCCGGGTCAGCTACTTGTGTTATATTACTTGGAGTATTCATTGCAATGTTGTGTTCAAACTTTAAACAATTTAAAAAATATAAGGAAACTTATGTTCTTTTTTTTATATAGGCTAGTTTTTTTTAAATGTCCCGCTGTGTTTCTTGCTAGTTTTTCCAAGTACAGATTTTTTTCCGAACCACTGGTAAAGCTTAAAAGACTTCCAATAAGTATTTTTGTAATCTATATTGAATAAAAATTATTATTTTTTATCATCCGACTTCAACAAAAGAGAAAGTTCTAAATTCGACTGTATTTTTTAATGTGCTTTTTTCTAGGTAAACAGATTCTGATGATTCTTTTTTATTTCAAAACTGGTGCTTTTCATGTAGTCCCATATAAATTTGATCAAGATCTCACCTGTAGTTTTTGAGTTATCCTTAATAATGCGAATTTAATTGACTTCGAATACATTGATGATGTTCTCATTTTATTCATATTGAAGTCGGTTGTACAACATTTATAATTTTACCACTTGTTCTCTTCTATTCTAGACCACAATCCCTACAAACCCACTGGTAAGTGGTGATAAAACCCTAAACGGTTAATCCCACTGTCTTAGTGTAAGAAATGTATATAACAGATTTATATAATTCAATATACTGTGATCGCAAAAAGAAATAGAAAAATATGTATTATTATTATGTTCTATTTATAACTGTATTAGTAAAGACGATGTAGAATTAGTAAGCTGAAGTGGCAATGGGCCGGCCATATAGCTCGAAGAACCGACAACCGATGGGGAAAAATGTTTCTCGTGTGGCAGGTTAAGGGATGTCATAATGATAACTCTTTAATCCAATATAAAAGTACTTTGTATAAATTATTATTCAATATGTCAATATAAATCAAAAGATCCAAAATATTTAATTCAGTAACTAAATTAACATTTAACTTAGGGATCTTCGCTCTTGAATATTGCAACTTAGCTACTTTTTACTTAAAATATAACAATATTAGGTAAAAAAGGTATGTGAAAAAGGCAATTAAGTTACAATTTTTCATTTTAGAGACGATGATACTTAGTGTCCGTAAAAAATAACTATATGTACGTCCTCCAAATAATTGTTTAGGATATGAATGTGTATTGTAAAATGTCTCGAAGATATAGCGCTGTAGGGCGGCTCCCTACAAGATGGGGTTATCTCTGAATGGAGGACCTGGTAAGAGATGGAGAAAGTCGATAGATGCTGGTGGCTCAGGATTTTGCTTTGTTGCATTCCTTAAGAGTCCCCATGTTCAGCAGTGGAATTGTAATGGGTTTTAATGATAATAAAGAATCACATGGATGGTATTAGAGGCGCCTAAGTTTAAAAGGAAGGTTTTGTGGCTTTTGAATTTTTTTAAGAAAGAGTAGACAAACGAGAATACGTCTCACCTGATCGTAAATGATCAACGTTATCCATGAACAATATTCAGAAATTGCGGTATGACCATCATAATTTATAGCACATATATAATTTGATGTATTTCTTATTTATTTACACTGTTTGGCACTAAAGGTGCAAATAGCTTATGCAATATGGTTAGTAATGATGATGAGGGTATGAGCTCTATCATCACGAACTTCTTCATGATCAGCTCATAAAAGCCCGCGCCGTGAACATTGAACTCGCCACACTTGGCAGGCGGATTGACGATCGCAGTACCATGTGTAATCGTACCTTTGACGCTGCTGTCCATCGCCGGCGGGGGTATTTTGACGTTCTCCAAATGGTCGTACCGCCATCTGTCGCAAGCCATTAATATTTACTGGAATTGAACAAAGTCGCCCCCTACCACAAACAACGTAGTAAAGTGGTGATGGATAAGAGTCCGTCGACCCATTTTAAATTCAATAAAATATATGTTTTCCGTTGTTGCAGATATCACAAAATTAATAATTGTGTACAGTCTTACAGTATACACTCACAAGTTTTGCCCCAATCGTCTACATTTCAAGACATCAAAACAACAGATTGTTTAAATGGTCCAGTGGTAACTACTTCAAATATATTTTCTGATTTTTTCAAAACTAATGCAACTTCTAAATTTGAAAATATGTATAATATAATGAAAAATAATGTAGATAGTAAATATAGAAATCAATCACAGCCAAATTTAGAACCAAATTCATTTGGCAATGCAGTAGAGGCGAATATAAAGGTAGAATATTCCGACGAAACTTTTGACCCAACTCGTCCACTTACATTAATTTAAACAGTGGAAAGACCGTTCTTACGAGTACCTATATTTAATTTTGATGACAATCAAGAAATTTTCAATTTAAATCAAACATTTAAGAATAATTCTAAGTTAAAATTTATCACATGTAAGCTACTTTAGAATAGATGTGTCGACGATGAAGAACTTAAAGCTATAAAAAAGGCTGTTTTCAGCATTATTAATACACTAAACAATAAAAATAACGAAAAAAAAAAACCAGTTAATATACAAACTGATAAAATTTTGATTTACATTTTAATTTCTTTATAAATCTATTTTATTTTTGTAGGGTCATAATCCAGTGGCGGCTGCAAAAGTACAAGTCCCCAAACTGCAACAAATTGCACCTAATCAGAGTCACCATACGGGATTTTTGCAAGCCGTACCCCGCCCAAAAGGTCAAACCAGGCGCCCACATTCTCTTAGAGACTTTTCAGGTAACAACAACAGTTATAATAATCAAAGACAACATCCGTATCGCAATCAAAACCACGATCTAGCTAGGCCTCCAGGAGCTCAGGGTCATTACGATTCCAACAACAATGTGATTGCGTTACTTCAACCACAACAGTAACTACAATACTATGTGGGTGCAATGAAATAATAACCGGCAATAACAAGATGCCGCTGGCTGCAAGCAGTATATTATGCCACATAATGTAATTTTTAATTCCTTTTGATTTTTTATGTACTTAGTCAATCAAATGTCAATTTTATTTTTATTTCAAATATTATGTTAATTTGCATTTATATTCGATTTTAACGTCTATGTCTGTTGTCAAATTATATATAGAATTTTTGGGAATATTTGTTTTAGTTGCCACGCTTCGCTTGGCAATCGTAGTTTTGTTATTATTTTGACTTTATCAGGATGACGCTGCTGCTCATCTCCTGGTTTGTTCCTCTCTTTCGTCTGTTACGACACCTACGGGAAGGTATGGGGTTGTGGATATTCTTGTAACGCCACTATTGCTGTGTGTAAAGGAACAATTTAAATTAGGATATTTAGTGTATTATTCTTAGCTAATCTACTTCAAAGTTTTGCTTGAAGATCTAGTAGGTAAGTAAAAATACATGTTTTGACATAATCATTCTGTAATAATATCTTTTTAATATAGAAATTGGATTTTAATGCAAATTAAACTTTAATAGGTATATTGATATATAGTTTTTTTTGGAGGGTAGGTGTGAAAAAGTTGACACGTTTTGATAAGAGCTCTTTAATTTTTAAAGCTATAAAATTAATTACACAGTATTATTTACAACATTTTCAATAATGTAATTAATAAATGTGACTTATAGTACCCACCGGACAGTATTTTCCTAGCAAAAGTCTCGGCTTAGCTTTCCATTGACGTCAGTGGAGTTTGGTAGACACTATTATAAGCACACACACAAAGTCTCAATATACGGAAACGCGTAATTTTTGAGAAAAGAATAATTGAAAATCAATTATTCTTGCAATGTTTATGTCTAATCTGCTAATAAACTGGCGCCATTTTGTAATGTCATTGTCGACGTCAATAGGGATGTCGATTCTTTCCGAAAAAGGTCGATTTTTAAATCGATTCAAATCGTAAGCTGATGTATCGGTTCACAAAAAATCGATTTCTAAAATATCTATATTTTTTTAATGTTTCTATTTATAATGTAAATATAAACATATTTTATGAAAAACAAGAAAGATAGTCAAGTTAACGGGAGCGGTGGAGGCGTTTTTAAAAACTAAAATAAAACTAAGAGATGTCCGTACAGAAGCTCATGTACTTCAACAATGGCAAACTTATTCTAATACATCTTTCATGCAGACTCTATTACATTTGCTTACTCAATTGACACGATATAGGCCACACACTGGGTGCAAAGTCAGCAATAGTATTTATGCACGTACTTATATCACTCTGTGTGGGGTCGAATCCATGACTCTTCCCTCCTCAAGAGCGAAATTATCGGCATTTTCAGGAATCCGATGATTTCGCTTAATTACACACAGTTTATGTCTAATTATAATAAAAATACAGAAAATAATTGGTAGAATTACATACAAAATTATCGTTCCTAAACTCACACTTTTAACATTAATAGCACTTGCATTTTCACTGAGATTTATTTTGCTAAGTTTTACTAGTTGAAGTAATTGTTTAGTTTCGTCTAGATTTATACCTTTTAAACTCACTTCACTGACAATGGGAGGCTTCGAAATCTTCAGTTCTGGCAAGTTAGTCATTGGGTAAATTCGGTAATTTAGGTCATCTGAAGAAGATTGGTGGTATTTAAAATGAATATTTCCAATTTCGGCTTCACAGAAATCGTCTACGGTGATTATGTAAGTACCACATAAAAGTTCATGAGTGACGTCATTGTCGCACTTTCTGGTAAGTATTCTATGATTTCTCACGTACAGTATCCAGCTTTCGTGGCTTATTCGTTGAATTTTGGGATCTTCAATGTCCACAGTATGCTGTTCACAGGCATCGAGGTTTGATTGAAACTCCATGAGCTGTTCCACGCAGCTTTGTTCTGTATGCAGCAGCACATCGTCGGTATTGCACAGGAATTGATTATCCAAAGCAATTTGTTTGCAGGCTCTCGGGACTGGCAAGTATTCCTTTTCTTTCACCAATAGGTATGGGTATTTGGGAATAACTATAATAGTTTTGTTTGCAATAGCAATTGGCAATGAATACATTTTGAAGTAACTATATGTTTTATTCCCTACTAAAGGGACCTCTAAGATAAACGTGATCTGGTTTCCTTTTATAAAAGCCTTAACCTTAATACAATTTTCTAGTTTAACTAAGTTATTTTCATTTACAGGATATAATAGATTTTCAGTTATCGCGATTGATTGTAATAAATTTAACAATTCCGTAGAGTTAAAAATTGCTTGATGCAGAACAGATACCTTACTGAATGCTAGTGCAGTTTCGATTTCTCCTAGTATTACGTTAATAGTTCTAAAATAACTCAAAAACATGTCAAACATACCTAGGAGATAGGTAGAATAAATGTAGTTTTCTTCTTTTATAATTAGGAATTTAACAATTCTTTCAATTCTCTTCAAGCGTTCATCTAATATTAAAGTATTGTTATGTAAGGTCTCTGTACTGTTGATGAAACTATCCAAGATTTTGGAGACTAATGTAATTCTCTTATCCGACATTATCTGATTATGGTTTAGTTTAGAAATCAATGAGTCATATCGGACGGCATCATCATGATCCAAATTTCCAGTTACTATTTTTATCATAGACCCAAGCGGGTCAATAATGCCTCTTTTAAATCTTTTCGATGGCACAAGTTGCCGAAATTTTTCTATAGTTGCATCTCTTAAATACCCTACATGTGTTCGAATAGCTAAAAATTCATGAATATATGGTTTATTAACATCTATCAACGCAACGAATTCGTCATACTTTAATATACTAAAATCTAAATCACTACCTATACCTTCTAAGTTTAAAGTTTTAATAATAAGCCAATTGTCTATTTGCAATGAGGCACGACCCAGTTTGACAGGCAGGATTCCTGGGTTTTTTTCAAGTTTTCGAAGTTGAAGGCCCATCCTTTCTGAACCATCGTCAGAATTATTATACACCACCTGTGGAGGACGTTTAATATTTTTAATTGGCACTGAAGTATTTCTATTACCAATCCTAACAGGAACTATATTTCTTTCTATATTACCACTAACGACAGCTTTCCTATATCGCGGTTTGTCTTTACTTCTTCTTATGTTAGATTCCTTGGCGTATATAACATCTCCTATTCTAAAATTTCTATCTGTTTCACCGCCCTTTTGTTCCCTTACCTTTTCCTTTTTCTCTAAGATTTTATCTGATATGTAATTATATAGATATCTAATACGTTTAGCATGATCTTTTAATAGTTGTTGGGTGTAACATTTCTCGAAATTCGCGGTGAACGTTGAATTAGAGTCGGTATGACCGAAAACGATTTCGAAAGGAGTAAGGCCGGTTGTACTATGTATGGTGTGGTTATAAGCCATAATTGAGTAACTCATTACAGTAGCTGCATCTGTACAATTTCGTTCGTATTTCGCCAATCTGTATATCTCTATAATTGTGGAGTGGAATCTCTCTATTATGCCTGTTGAATTCGGGTTATTAGGAGTGGTAATGTGTAGTAGTATGTTATACATAGTCATAAGTTCCTTAATGAGATCATTATTAAACTCACTACCGGGATCAGAAGTTATTTTTTTAGGTGTTCCGTATATTGAAAAATATTTAATAAGCGCTCTTACGATTTCCGGTGCGGATCTATTTGGGATTTCGATAGCTTGTCCTAATTTACTAAATGCGTCAACCAAAGTTAGGTAATAAACGGATTCAATTGAAAAAAGGTCCATGAAAACTTCTTGGAAGGGGGCGTTTTGGGTTTGAGTTAATTGAAGTAATGGTTTAATGGGTTTTCTTTCATATTTCATTTTTCTACAGGCATCACAAACATTAAGTACTGCAGCAATCGTCTCTTGCATGTTCTGCCAATAATAATTTCTTTTAATTCTACTCATTGTTTCCTTTATTCCTCTGTGACACGTCTTTCCCTCATGATGTTGCATTATGATTTCTTTTTGTTCTTTCTCGTCTTCTACATATATAACACGCTCTGTACATTCAATAAATTCTACCATTCCCTTTTTAAATAGCTGTATAATAATTTTAGAGAATTCTTTTCTATGTTGAATGTTTTCGAAATAAATAAAATATTTAGTCTTGGGCTTAATGTACTCTTTTAAGAAATTTTTAATAAGATCTTCATTCTTAAGTGGGGCAAAAACTTCGAGAACCTTTTGTTTATCCCTGGATAAATTTCTTACTTGTACTTCATTTTTATGCCAGGTATAAACTAAAATTTGGTTTGGTTTTGAGTCAATAGCCTCCTTTAATATCGGAATACCATTAGATTCTAGATCTTGTCCAGAATGCACAGTTACTATACTACTATCAGAGGATATAGGTGGTAACGGGTATTTCGTGTTAGTTTCTAACTGGTCGACGGATACAGTGGCGGATGTGTCAGTTATAGTTATTGTCCTAGAGTCGTCCCTGTTTTCAGTCGTTAAGTCCACAATTTGGTCAGTTAATTCTGTTAGATATTTTTGCAGTTTTTGTTCTTTAGGGTCCAGGTTTACTTCCAATGATTGTGAGTCATCAGAGTCTACGGCATTTAGTTTTATCCGAGAGAGGGCATCAGCATTACTATTTTGTTTTCCGTTTTTGTATACAATATCGAAGTCGTACTCTTGAAGACGTAAACGCCAACGGGTCAGTTTACTGTTCGGTTCTTTAAGTGAGTAAAGCCAAACTAGTGGTCTATGGTCGGTATATATGGTGAACTTACGCCCGTAAAGGTATGGTCTAAAATGTTTTACGGCCCATATTATGGCGAGTAGTTCACGCTCTATTGTACTATATCTGGTCTCAGTGTCGCTGAAAGTTCTACTGGCGTAGGCAATGGGCTTATCGGATCCTATTGTCCCCTGCGATAAGACCGCACCTAAAGCAACAGTAGAAGCATCTGTAGTTAAAACATAAGGTTTGTCTGGATCTGGGTATTGGAGTAAAGGTGCATTAGTCAGAAGCTCCTTACACTTCTGAAACGCATCAATATATTTTTGATCTATTACTATTTTATTTCTTTTCTTTAGGCATGCTGTAAGGGGCTGAGTGATTTTGGCGAAGTCTTTTACAAAGCGTCTGTAATAACCAATTGTGACGCCTCATAATTATTATTAATAAATAATAATTAAATTCATTATACAGACATTTAAAAATGTCTTAGAAATTATAATTTAAACAATAAAATGCAAATAATAGGCATAGAGTTCAAAAATATCCATTTGGAATATTGAATATTATATATATTAGTAAACGCATAAAATGTCTCTAAAAATCTCTAAATTTATTAAAAACCTGCTTAAAATGTTAAAAATGTATCAAATCATATAAATACAAGGCGATTATATTGCAATAACAAAGATAAATAACATTTGTAATATAATAGAAAAAATGGATTAAAATTTTCTAAGTTGATGAAGGTGTTCGTGTAATAATTGGAAAATTTCTAAGTTAATGAACGTGTTCTTGTAATGTTCCCTTATATTGGGGCGTTGTCGGAGACACATACCCAAGGTTGTACATATACAGGGTATTTTTGGAACGCTCCCGAAAACTAAGACAGGCGACAGCACCAAGTATACCTTTGATCATGGGTTACAAATAAAGTCGATCCTGATGAAAAAAAAATCATCTTTTAACAACGTTTTATTAGCTTTATTCACGCGCCATCATGTTAGTACAGCTAAATGAAACGATAATTTCATAAAAAATATCATGAAAATACTGAAACATAAAACCAGCAGTGGAAACTGAATTGATATCACCTGACTAATGGAGGTTAATGTACGCGCGAACGGTGAAAAATAAACGCTGGCCTTGAACTTGGGCACTGAGGGATTTATCACATATTGGTACGAAAGGCGCGCGACGGGGGAACAATCCGCCAGTATTAGTGTGCCTGCATGCTATTGGTTCCCGCGCTTTGTTCGCTCCAAAAATACAGTCGCATACACAGCTTACTTTGCGACTCGCGACGATGTTTTAAAAAGGAAGGAAAGAAAAATTATTTATATCTATTGTTTTATGACTAAACTAGTGATCGAAAAGGTAAATATGATAGGAGAAGGTGAATGGGGAAAATTGTGCAGTAAAGTTAAAAGTGTGGAGGAAGAATACCGAAAAAATTACCATGTGATCGACCTGATGACGGAAGCTCAAGCGAAGATGAAAGTGATGATGAAGTAGCATCCAGTAACACCAACACACCATTAACATCTGGCTTCCATGTGACCCAAGACGTCATAATGGACGGCGTGTTACCCTTAGCTAAAGTTTTCTTGTTACAAACTACTTTATATTTTACGATAGAAATAACAAATAATGCTCATGTAAACATTATCCATTTTTAATTCCCACCTCTTCCAAAGTTCTAAGTAGCTAGTAAAACACCTATTATGATTCTACATTAAAACAATTAATTACTATAATATTATAAAACAATAGCCCAATACCATGTAGTACTTTAGAACGCGACTGTACCCACACCCCCTCCGCTATCGACCTGTATCTAGCTCGGTACGTAAGAAAAAAGGGCGCATCTAACAATTTATGAATAAATGAGTTAAATATACCATTCGATTCATGATAAGAAGGCGCATCTACTAATTTTTTTTAATATTCACAAATATCAATATTTTAGAAATTATCGTAAGAATTTTAGACGTAACTGTTGATCACAGATGACTTTTTTTAGTAGAAAAGACTTATACAAATTCAACATAAAAGAAAAGACTTATTTAACCAGTTGCTACGTCATCTTTAACAATATTTGCATCGATTACTTAAATTTCAATTATTCTTGGTCTTGTCTTATTATTCTATATCTTATTATTAAGAGCTTATATCTTATTGTTAAGAGCTGGTGTTTCACATGTGGTCCCATATAAATTTGATCGAGGTCAGACCAATAGTTTTTGAGTTATCCTTAATTATTTATATTAAAGTCGGTTGTACAAAATTTTTAATTTTTAATTATTATCGTAGTAAGTCTTGTATGATATCCCCTTTAAAATCATTACTCAAGAGTTGCGGGTTGTTATTTTTTGTGTCTCACTACCAATAATAATAATAATAATAATAATAATTTTATTTCAGACCATGGTCCATATATTGTTAGTAATGTTGTTAGTAACAATATTTTGGCTTAAAACTACGTTAGTATTGTAAGTAATTACATACTATTTTAATCCTATGACTACGCCCACCCAGTGCTTCTGTATGGGACAGTCATATCTTACAGATATCGCTCTCAGGATGCTGTTATTACTGTTTCGTAAGCGTTGCAAGAGTGAGGCTGTCTTCTTCCGAATGATCGCTGAAAAAGTGTCAGCACGCGCTTGTGCAAACATACCTGATGCACTGCAATGCCACGGCAGCCGCAACAACATCCTGAAAGCGTTATTATACTGTACGCGCAGAGCATTGTAAGCTCGACGCGTATATGTCACCCACAGGGCACTAGAGTAAAATGATTGACAAAACGCTTTGAAAAGCGTTATTTTAACTGTATCTGTACATCTAGTGAACCTGCGGGCAAGCATATTGGCTCTCACTGTCAACGCCCTGCGCTCCCTTTCTATGTCCTCGTCATCCCGGAGGTCTGCTGTCACAATGTGACCTAAATATTTAAAACTATCCACCAGCTTTAGAGGCACCCCATCGAGGACTACTGGAGGCACACGGGAGGGCTGATGTTTGCCTGCTTTGAATATAAGAAGTTGGCTTTTGTTAGCGTTATATTTAAGCCCATGTGCCTCCGCATATGTCTCACATATTGACAATAAAGTCCTCAGTGCATTGATTGAGGGACTCAGCAGCACCATGTCGTCAGCATAGCTTATATTATTGAAGCAGATATCGTCAATATGACAGCCGACATGAGTACTACTGAGTCGCTCAATAAGCTGATTGACATACAAATTAAACAATAGAGGCGAGCTTAACCCTCCCTGTCTTACACCACATTGCAATCTATATTCATTCGAAAGCGTACCGGCCCATCTCACTTGATTTTTCTGGTTTGAATACCAAAATTTGAGGAGGGAGATGCACTCCATCGGCACACCCGCACTCCCCAACTTCTCCCATAAGCGGTCATAAATTACGCGATCAAAGGCTTTTGACAGGTCGAGGAAGCAAGCGTATACTGGAGTCCTTCTCTTCGTATAATAGTTTACTGTATGTTTCAAGCTCAGAATAGCACTCTCGGTAGATAATTCGGCTCTAAACCCGAACTGGGCATCATGCAGCTTCACATGTTTTTCGAGATTGCTATTCAACAGACTGTCAAGCAACTTAGCTGTTGTTGTAGCAAGTGAGATAGGCCGATAATTATTTTTATCAGAAGTGTCACCAGTCTTATTTTTAAGGATCGGTACCACAATAGTGCGCATTAAAGCCTCAGGTAGGTAAGAGTGACATAGACATAAATTAAAGAACATCGCGAGTACGCGCGGTAGGTGCACCCCAGCATACTTAAAATGTTCAATGCTGAGACCATCGTGACCGGGCGATTTGCCCCTCTTCATGTTTTTTATAACTGTCGATACATGCTTTGCTGAGAAGGACACCTTACGTTCCGTTACAATGGTCGCAGCATCATTCGCACTACAAGAAACTGGATCCGAGGACGACTGAACACTAAAATGCTCGCTGAATAAATTGGCAATCATCTTATGATCGTGGACGCCGCCGACACTCACAGGAAGCGTAGGTTTTACATTCAATTTATTGGTGTTCTTCCAGAAATTTTTGAAATTTTTAGCCGAATGATTTGAAGCAAGTAAATCCATTTGTAATTGCTCTTGCCTGTTTTGGCACCATTTTAACTTTGATTTAAATTTTTTACGCGTTTCTAACATTTCATTATAAATATTGCCGATTTTTGGTTTACCTGCCAATAACCACATCTGAAATTTAAGTCTAGCCTCCCTGTGCGCGCCAGCAACGTATTTATTCCACCCAGTGACATAACCTTTATTTCTTGTACATTTTCTTTTAACATAGGTCTGTGAAGCTGATTCTGACAATATACTAACAATCTCCCTATACAATTTGTCTAATATTAAGTAATGACTTTTATTACTACATGAGTAATCACAGCATTGGTCTAACTCTAGCGGAAATTCGATATTCTTTAGTTTAGAATGACACAATTTATGATATTTATTTATCTGTTCCAACTGCCTATCGCCCCATTTTATACATTTATTTGACTCGCCAATTGGAACATCAATTACAACTTTCTGATTTAATTTGTATAGGTCACATTCTATTATGAGCGGAGAGTGGTCCGACCAATATACGTCATGTTTCACTGACACTTTATTAATCGTCGTCCGTGCAGATTGAGTGACTATACAGTGGTCTAACCATCTCTCACACCCATGTGCATCACTACGAAACGTATAGGTGTTAGACTGAAGCCCTAACATATCAACGTCCGCGCAGTACCACGTGTGATCATTACAGAAATTAATTAATTCATTATAAAATATTTCTTTTGGATGCGCATTAAAGTCTCCAAGTAAATAAAATGCCTCCACACCACAATTCTCTTCCACTTCAATAATAGATTTTATTAAACTAAGGCATTCTGTAAATATAAACAAGTTTTCATTGCAGTTTGTCGGCATGTAGACGCTAAAAATTACTACGGATCTATTACTTACAGTTATTTTAATCGCCGCTGTCCGAACATTATCACAATTTATCACAGACACCGTTTGAAACACACTTTTCCTCCATAACAACGCAACACCACCGTACGGTCTACCAGTAAGTAGGCCATCTGAGGTGTTGATTGCCGATGTTCCCGTAGCACCAAAATCACTGTCAATTGTGCTCAGTAAAGGCAACTCGTGTGGCAGAAGCCAGGTCTCCTGTAAGGCTATTACGTCGGCTGAGCGACATAATTCCCTAACGCCTTCGAATGACCTCTTAATAGATTTGCAGTTAAAACTTATTAATCGAGAATAATTTTTACTATCGCTATCCATTATATTGTATATATACCTTAAAATTGTATTTATATGTGTAATATCTATCTATCTATTTTTTTTACCAATGCTTTTCTAATATTTATTTAAAAAAAAAAGTAGTAAATTACTATTAGCGTCCTTTCAACTTCAAATGAGCTTTCCAAAATATGTAAAATTTATGGCAGTTTTTTTTTAATTTATTAGGTTGGAAAGACGCAAATAGTTATATGCGTCTTTCCTTCGATGTTTTTGTGATGCCAGGTGTATTTTTTAAGCTAAGATGAAAAGGAAAATTCGTTTTATTTAAATAAATAAACAAATTATCAAAAAGTTTGTTCGTCCTTAAAATCTTCATGTCTCTACGTATATATTTCAATTTTCATATAGATACCTTTTAATATACTTTAGACACAGGGTCTGAAAGAAAAATTCATCAATTGATTTTTTATTTCCATTTTACGTTTTTGTTAGTTGCGTCCTTCTTTATGTAACCCGACGACGGCAGAATGTAACCCGGCCGGCTCGTGTCGCCTCACGCTGTGACGCAGTAGACAAAGAGTATAATAACTGTCCTAGCAGTAGGTTTCAGTTTTGTTGGGGTTCGTTATTAATTGTAGTTTTTGAAACAGTTCCGTGTTGATTTTGTACACGCGTGCGCGAGCGACAGCTCAATCGTATTCTTATTACTTGTGATTACGTGTTGGTATTATTCCTGTTGTTACGTTTTTTGTTTTAATAATGCTTAACGCGTATTTTTATAGTGATTGTCAATACAGCAACATGTTATCCGAACCCAGGTACACGAAGTATCGCCAAATAAATTGTTAAGACGTCGGGATGGAACAATTGTGTCAAACTGTGCAGTGCAAAAAGTGTTGAAGCGTAACCGAATGCGCCCATACAAATTGCACAAAGTGCAAGCTTTAGTTCCCGGCGATCACGTCCGCCGACGAGTTTTCTGCCGTTGGTTATTATACCAGCGACAACGTGTGCCTGGTTCCATTGAGCACATTATCTGGACGGATGAGTCGACATTTACCAAAAACGGCCTGTGGAACCGAAGAAATACACATGTGTATTCAGAGGTTAACCCGCACGCTGTTCGACAAACCGGGCACCAAACCCGATGGCCGGTTAACGTATGGGCAGGTTTATTTAAGGATCGCATACTGGGACCAGTGTTTCTGCCACAGCGACTGAACAGACAGCGATACCATGTTGTGAGGTTCGTCCGTGAGCGCCTCAATGAGCTATTTGATGATCGCTGGATCGGCAGACTAGGACCACACGCTTGGCCACCTCGCTCACCAGATCTGACCCCGTTAGACTTCTTTTTGGTATGTGAAAGAAAGGGTTTTTAATCGTGAGTGTGATAGTGCTGACAAAATGCGCCAAAGGATCGTGGATGCTTTCGAGAAACTATGTACGGACTGTGTCGAAGACCACACGATGATGCCCCGCCTGCACCCAAATCTACCTTGAAATGAATGGAGCACAATTTGAGCTGCATCTCATAAGACCACGGAGGATTTAGAGCGGTAAGCTGTTTCATAACTATTTTTTTTAAATAACTTAGTACTGAACTAATCTGAATAGGTACATAACTGAATACATGAGAATAATAAACATACCTACACGATGAATAAAAACGCATGACTCCAACCTTGGCATTTCATTTAAGTATTTTTTCATTAGCGTATGTAGTGGTATGGCCCGCTAGTTGCGGGCCGCGCGAATTTGCGTTCGCGAGTACATTGACCTTTAGTCAGGTGATACAATTCAGTCATTCCACTGCTGGTTTTATGTTTCAGTATTTTCATGATATTTTTTATGAAATTATCGTTTCATTTAGCTGTACTAACATGATGGCGCGTGAATAAAGCTAATAAAACGTTGTTAAAAGATGATTTTTTTTTCATCAGGATCGAATTTATTTGTGACCCATGATCAAAGGTATACTTGGTGCTGTCGCCTGTCTTAGTTTTCGGGAACGTTCCAAAAATACCCTGTATATATAGGGTGGTCGGCTGACCGACTGCTAGTACTAAGGTTGCACAATGACTAGTCCTATATTAGGGACTTAACATAGTAAGGTCTGACGAACCAAAGCATTAATATAGAAGGTCTCTATGATGCATAAGCATTATGATAGCAGAGTTATGACTTGAAGTCCCATATGAATAAGACATACAGTAGTATGGTCTATGAAATAAAGCAAATATGTGGAAGGTCTCAAATATGTAAAAGCATTATATTGAAAGAAATGGGACTTGAAAAGGATTATTATAGTGGCGTGTAGGTTGCTTCGCAGCCTCTGAGACCGAGGTAAACTTGGACTCACTAACCGATGTGTCCTAGACATATCATCTTAGTGCCGATGATAAGCGGGTTTGTTGTAGCAATACGACTTGCCCGTGGACATCGCACACCCCTACCGGTTGTGGGCGGCGTCTTAGCGCAAAGCGTTATGATACGTCGGCTATCTTTCGGATTAGGGTGAGTGTGTTTGGTAGTACTTTTAAGTGCAGCAAGCATACTCAACTTCATGTCTTAGTGCAATAGCGCTATGATACGTGGAGTTTTGGCTACTGACGTCTTAGTACCGTACTACTATGATACGTTGGTGGTAATTTTAGTTAACAACATTATCAAATTTTGTTACCAAAGTCGATAGGGATCATGTGGGTGTGTTGTGAGGGGGCGCCATCCGTATGATAGTTGCATTGATGCTTACTGCTACTTGCAGTATTGTGTCTTGTGATGTATCTGCGGGTGTGCTGCACCTGATTAGATGCATCTTGTGGTTCTGGTCGATGGAGGTATGCGGGTGGTGATGTCTGCTAGGACTGTATGGGGGACCTTGGGATGGTGTAAGCCCGACGATAGTCGTATTGATGCTTGTTGCATTCTGTAGCATTGTGTCTCTACGATGGTTGTTTGGCGGGTCGCTATTCTCAATGGCGCTCTCTGCGTCTTGGTTTGACTCACAACCTAAGTAGCTTTGCCCTAGTCGGGTCCCTTCATTGCGGGGCTGCAGACTGTCTGCCCTCCATGATGTTTTATATAACAACTTAATAATATATCTCTATAAAGTTCCCACCTTTGAGAGATTGAAGGCAACTTGTTGGTGGGTGAGACAAACATGATCGAAAAATGCATATACTCAACGTCAGTGACACAAACCCTTTCTGATGGCGAATTATTAATATTATCTTATAACTGCCTATTGGCTATATCTGCCATTGTATTGGTTGGTGGAGCATATGTGTTGACCTCATGCGGGTGGTAGCTGGAGGGAGAATCTGAGGAGGCTCTCAAGGCTGCGGCCGAAAGCCGCGCAACGTGGGACCCCATTCCCTTGAGGTGAGCGGTAGACTCATGACACGCTCTGCGGCCAATTGGCCGTGCTGACCATGCAATTGGTGGTGATGCCTTACACTTACATCACGTCTGCAGAAACGGCGGTCTGGCAGGTGGTGGCGCTCACGGAGGGCTTTTTATGGTCAGTGTGCCGATTGTTGCCTAACCCGTGTGACGTACATTTCACTGTGGCTGGATTTGATCGTATTCTGTATGGCGTTTACACGCATTGACATGCGCGACTTCGGTCGATGTTTGTGCTTACGCACTGTCAAGGGGCCAAGTCCTCTTTTACTGGTTCGCCAGTTATTTTGCTGTGGACTACGGTCCAGTTCCCAACTTTGCGTACCCTTCGGGGGAAGCGCATTAAAATGGTTGGCGCTCACCGTGCGCGGCGTGTGTGGGGCCGTGTACCTCCTCCACATTTTTTTTTAAATGTGGGAGAGCGAAGCCCTTGTAGCTGGTATTTGATATAAATATTGTGAGCCTTTTCCAAGCGGGAAGGGATTAATTGATAAGGAATTGACTGTTGTGAACCAGATACAAGTGGAATAGGGACAATAACACAACGTAAAAAAGGGTCCTAACTAAGACGATCACGCCATAAATTTATTAAACGGCCTATATTTAAACCTTTAGAAAGATCAAGATATACTGGTCACGAAAATTAGATATATTTATATATCTTACAGATATAGATTCTAAAGAAATACAAGTATAAGTGGATATATAGTAGAAAAGAAAAAATATGGGGGGGGGGGGGTTCGTTACACAATCAATCCTAGGAAACTCTTGATCTCGGTAGTCGTCCTTGGTAACGGGTAGCTTAATACAGCCTGAATCTTATCATCGTTTGGTTTAAGTCCGTCTTTAGTAATAACGTGCCCTAGGTATAGCACTTCTTTTCTCAAGAATTCTGATTTGTCAAGTTGTATTTTTAAATTAGTCGATCTCAATCTGTCAAAAACTGTCCTTAATTTTTGTAAATGCTCCTGGAGGCTACTCGAGAAAATAATTATGTCATCAAGATAGACAAGGCAATGAATTCCTTGTAAGCCTCTTAGGATGTTATCCATGGCTCTTTGGAAGGTGGCTGGAGCTGTCTTCAGGCCAAAGGGCATTCGAAGGAATTCATAGTGTCCGTTCTCTGTGCTGAATGCCGTTTTTTGTCTATCTGATTCGTTGATCTCACTTTGGTGGTATCCACTAGCTAAGTCCAAGGTTGAAAAGTAAGTACTCTTACCTAGTTTGTCAAAAATGTCAGTGATATTGGGTAAAGGGTACTTATCGTCCACAGTTATGTCGTTTAGACGTCTGTAATCGATAACCATCCTATACTTCATTTCACCAGATGCGTCTCTCTTTTTGGGAACTAAATGGACTGGGGCTGACCAAGGCGAAAAGGATTCCTGAATCACATTATCATTTAATAGTTTCTGTACCTGGTTTTTAATTTCCTGTGTTTGTGCGGGAGGTTGCCTGTAGGGTTTGACATAGATAGGGTCTTCGTTTTTTGTTCTAATATAGTGTTTCACCTCATTAGCAAAAGATAAAGGTATTTGATCGCTATAAAAAATATCTTTATATTCTCTACATAAGTGGTATATCGATTTTTGTTCTTCTTCCGACATGTGGTCTAAGCGTAGTTTCTCTAAATTTTGCTCTAATATTTTATCTTTTTTTTTTTTTTTTTTTTTTTATAGGATAAGGGTGACAAACGAGCACACAGTCCACCTGATGGTAAGTGGTTGCTGCGGCCCATAGACATCTACATCTATCCTCTGTTACAAATCAAAATGTGGATGCGTTGTCACCCGTGAGGACTAAGATGGAATGCCTCATTTCCAATAAAAAGGGCCTCCGGCCACCTGCACTCACCAAGCGAAACGCAGAGGTAAACCTCTACTTCACGCTGGTTTTCTGTGAGGTCGTGGTACCACCCCGGTTCGAGCTGGCCCTTCCGTGCGACAGCAAAAGCTGCCGCATGGCTCTACCACTGTTAAAAGTTCACTTGTTAAAAGTTCTACTTCAATATTTGACATATCTGTAATATGGTTAACTATACATTTAGTCGCTTTACTCTCTTCATATGCTTCTACATTCAATGGCTTTTTTATAGTTAATTTTATCGGTATATCTAAGGTATTCTGGATTACTGTAGTCGTATAACCATCCTTACATCTCACTAACGCACTAGGCATTCGCACACCCTTACAGAATTCTTTATAATCGATTACAGCATTACCTGAATATAAATTTGTTGGGAGTTTGACTTTTTGCTCGGAACGGGGAGATAACTCCAAAACGTAAGAAGATTTACTATGTGTTATAGGTATTACGGTAGTTTTAGTTTTAAGAATCTCGTTTTTTAAATCTATTACTGGTTCTAGGTTGCAAAGTATATCATTCCCAATTAAGCCATCGTACCTAGAGTCGACATTGTAAATGTATAGTTTATGAATATCGTTACAGTTGAAAATTGGTAAAGACGGGATTTGAATAACTTGATCATGTCTGCTCGATGCATGTGTGCTAATGACTTCGAATGGTTCGTGACTTATGTACTCTGGAAAGTACTTATAAGCCTTTGATGGACTAATGAATGATCGCGTACTACCTGTATCATTCATAAATTTGGAGTCGATTTCCGGTATATAAATAAACGGCAATCTCAAATTAGTACTACAATTTAACTCTATTTTTTCGTAAGTTCCGAGGCTTCGACCTGAAAATCCTTGTCGTCCATATTGGTTGGAACGCTTTGTGTTACTTCAGGAATAATTGTCGGATATTGATTTTCATAATAATCGAGCTCGGGAACATTAAGGCCACTGCTTGAGTACTCCTCATAGCAGCAGTTATCATAAGAAAGTGGGTACACATCGCCGCACGCATCATCGTAATACGTATTATGAAGGTCGAGTTCATTTAACTGAAAGCCTTGTTGATTTGTTTTAAGTGGTGGTGCCGTTCGCATTGTGACGTCACTGGGCCCAGTGTATTGATTTTTATTTAACTGAGGCTTGTAACCAAATTGTTGGGGCTTATAAAAGTTTTGTTGTTGGTTTCCAAATTGTTGTGGGCGCATACCGAATTGTTGTGGGCGCATACCAAATTGTTGAGGTTTATTAAATGTTTGTGGTTGCATCCCGAACTGTTGTGGACGCATATTAAATTGTTGTGGGCGCATATTAAACTGTTGCGGGCTTATACCAAATTGTTGCGGGCGGAAGCCGAATTGTTGGGGGCGGTATCCAAAATTTTGTTGATTATTATTAAATTGAGTTAGTTTTGATTGTGACCCCTGCGGAAGTCCAAAGTTAAATTTGTTAGGGGTTAATTCGGGTTTATAGCCCATAGGTGCCATTGAATTAAAATTATTTGTACCGAATTTAAACGTAGGATTATTATTTGGTATACTGGGTGGCGTTAGTTTATTACTAGGATTACTATACATTTTATTACGTAAGGTATACTGCTCATGGAAGTTGACTTCTTCCATGACCACGCTTAAAGCCTCTTCTAGTGTACTGGGCGCTTTTAAGCGAACAATTCGCACCATATTTTCTGGCAAATTATACAAAAAGACATTTAAAGATGTGTTATTATATATAATAATTTTGCTACTCTTTACATTCGGATCGGTTAATCTATTTACTTTCGATATTAAAACACTACGAACGGATTGGATCCTATTACAGAAATCTAAATATGACTCGTTGTTTCGGATACGCAAACCTTCAAGTTCTATAGCAATACATTCTTCACTCCTAGGGTCTCCAAAATGTTGAATTAGCAGTTCTCTAAAATCTTCCCACGAATTAATGTCCTCGCGCTCGCTAAAGAGCGCTGCAGCGTCGCCTACGAGTCTACTTGTTATCGCGTACATTACGTATAAATTTTGTTCATCGGATCCCCTATATTTATTTAATATATACTCACATTTGCGAATAAAAAGATTTAATTGGTGCTTATCACCGTTGAATATCGGTACAATTTTGAGCATTTCACTAGGAATCATCTTAATTTGCACTTGATCTTCCATTTTGTAGAACTTTATTTTATAAAATACGGCGATAAAATAATATAATTAATACAAGAATTCAAATTCACAATCAAAAACACAGTCAAAATAAAAGTAAAATAATTAATAAGTAAAATACAAAATATGAAATAAATAATTCCTCAATAAAAATTTAATCAACGAACATACACTACAATTATAATTTGTAATAGTTATAATCGCTTTGTTCCTACAGTGCAAGCTCTTATCGCGTCGTTATTGCATGGACGCGCTTACTTATCTAGTTATTCCTAGTATTTCTTTATGCAGTTAGTTATTAAGTTTATAATAAAGCCATTTATTCAACAGTACGTAATACAATTTCTTAATATCTAAGTCATATAAAATCTACATTGTCTTCTGCTGATTGCCAATCGGCAAAGGCCTCCTCCAACCTTTTCCACTCGTTTCTATCCTTGGCAACCCGGTTCCAAGTCACACCCGCGAATTTGACCAGGTCGTCCTCCCATCTTTGGCGGGGTCTCCCTCTCTTTCTTATGCCATTCCTGGGGTACCATTCTGTGACCTTCCTGCTCCACTTTTCCTTCCCTCTACTCATATGCCCAGCCCATTTCCACTTTAATTTCCTGACTTTTGTTGCTATGTCCCGAACCTTTGTGTTTTTCCTAATGTCTTCTAACCTGACTCGATCCTTTTTCCTGATTCCCATCATGCTTCGCTCCATCGAATGCTGGCATATTTTTAATTTCTTACTGTTTAATTTAGTAGGAGCCCATGTTTGACATCCGTACATCAATACAGGAAGAATGCATGTGTTGAATACTTTGGATTTAATGGATATGTGCAGTTCTTTATCTTTCACTATTTCCTTCATGCTCCAATATCTTTTCCATCCGTTAGCTACTCTCCTGTTGATTTCTTTTTCCATGTTGTCTGTGGGTGAGATCATTTGGCCCAGATAGATGTATTCATCAACGTATTCTATCTCACTTTGGCCAACCCTGATGTTTTCATTCTTAGGTCCGTTGGTCATTACTTTCGTTTTCTCCATGTTCATTTTCAATCCCACCGTGTGACTTTCTAATGCCAGATCATTTGCCATGACATTCAGTTCATGTGGGGTTTTTGCAAAGAGAACGATGTCGTCTGCGAATCTTAAATGTGTTAACCAAGTTCCATCGATACTGATTCCATATCCATCCCAATTTAGTCTTCTAAATATCATTTCAAGGGCCGCAGAAAAAAGTTTTGGGGATAGCGGGTCGCCCTGTCGCACCCCTTTTTGTATGCTAAATGGTTCTCCTTTCTTTTCTAACTGTATGCATGCTGTACTTTTCTTGTATATCTCTCTCAGTATCCTTATGTACTTGCTTTCTATACCTTGTTCTTTTAGGGCCTGCCATATCTTATTGTGAAATAAAGAGTCGAAAGCCTTGCTGTAGTTTATATATGCCATGTAATATAATTGGTTGTATTCATGGGATTTTTCTATAATCTGCCTCATAACATGTATGTGGTCCAATACTGAGTACCCTCTACGAAAACCTGCTTGCTCGTTTGGTTGGTTGTCGTCTAATTTTCTTTCGAGTCTTCTTAGCAGTATTTTCGCAAATATTTTGTATAAGTTGGACATAAGGCTGATCGGGCGATAATTACCTATATTAAGTTTATCACCCTTTTTATATAACAATACTATATTAGATTGCGTCCATTGTATCGGGATAACTTCGTTTGCGAAAATTTCATTAAATAGTTTCGTGATAACTGGTAACAGGACATTTTTTGCCATTAATAGGATTTCATTTTCAATGCCATCTGGCCCTGGGGCTTTGTCTTTACTTTGGGACTGTAATGCTACTTCTACCTCTCGTTGCAGTATATAGGGTATGCTCTCATCCTCATCATCGTTTAGTACTATTACTTCGCCAGGTTCTTCTTGTGTGTTCTCATATAATTGTTTATAGTATGATGTAGCAATATCTTTTATGTCTGATCTTCTATTTTGTTCTATTCCTTTCTCATTTCTAACTTTTGTGACCCAATCTTTTGATTCTGACAGTTCTTTATATGCTTTTTTTGTTCCTCCTGTTCTAATGATTTGCTCTTCTATTTTTTTTCTTCTGTTTTGTTTTCTATCCCTTCTCATACTCTGTTTTATATCTTTACTCAGCTCTGATATGCGTTTTCTACGATTCTCTGTGTCTCTGGAACTGATTACTTGTTTCCTTGCTTCGAGTAGATTTTTTGTTTTTATTGATAAATAGCTTTTCTTCTTTTCTTTATTAGTGCAGGTACTTTTTGCTAGTTTGATTGAAGTCTCAAACCAGTCGTATTTCTGTTGAATATCTAGGTTCTTGGTTTCTTTCTCAAAGTCTGCAAATCTTTCAGTCAGTTTATTTGCAGCTTCTTTTAGGTTTTGAATACTCAACTTACCAACAAAGTGCCTCCTGGGTCTTTGTGTCTTTATATGTCGTAGTGTGAGATCTGCCCTGACCATTCTATGGTTCGTGTTGAAATTAAATTTGTTCACAACATTTAAATCGGTGAAACACATTGGTTTGTTGGTGAGAACAAAGTCAATGTCATTTTTGTATTTGCCTCCTGGTGATACCCATGTCCATTTCCTTGAACCTTTCTTTTTAAATTTGCTGTTTAGAATATAGAGGTTGTTTTCGAAAGACATATTAATGAGTCTTTCTCCATTTTTGCTTCGTCGAGTTCCATATGTAAAAGGTCCGAGAACACGTCTTTCTTCTGGCAAGCTTTCACCTGTCTGGCCGTTGAAGTCTCCCATCACTATTAAGTTTTTGTGCGTATGTCTCTCTATAGTACTGTTTAGATTCTCATAGAATTCTTCAATTGTCTTTTTGTCTGCTTGTTCAGTTGGAGAGTACACTTGCACAATAGACCACATATCTTCGTAATTGGGTAATTTTATATTTAGCACTGCTAAACGGTCCGAAATTCCTATGAACTCATCAACATATTGTATCATGTGCTTTTTGAGAATAAATCCTAGCCCATTTTGGCCTTCTTTTTCGCCTATGTGATATAGAAGGAAGTCCTCGTATTCTTGTATGTTTTCTCCAGCTCGTCTTACTTCACTCAGACCCAGAATGTCCCATTTGATATCATTTAGTGCTTTACTTAGTTCTGTTAGACTCTCGTCCGACTTTAGGGTTAGAACATTAAGTGCTGCAATTTGGATACTTTCTTTAAAGGGGGCATTACATTTATCTTTGTTGTTAATGTTGTTGTTTTCTAGTGTATGTTTGTTTAGAAGTGTATGTTTGTTTGGTTTTTTTGAGATTGGTGGGTGGTGGTCTAATTCCCCACGGGGACCAGCCGGGTTGGGGAATGTTAGTTATTAAGTTTAAGTATTCTTAAATATAAGTTTCACAGATTTTTATGTAAAACCAGATAACGTTATATCGCAAGAGGTCTAATTGCAAAATAACAAAACTATATAATATGACAAGGAAAGGAAGGTGAAAATTTGGACTCACCAGCCGGCCTTCGTCATCTTCAGCTGCTCTCCACTTGACAAATTTATATTGGTTCGCAGGATCGCCTCGCGGCACGAACGCGGTAAACGATTTTATTCGAATTTATTTCGCGGACGGCGCAAGCAAATGGCGATCTTACCGGCTGCGCCAGTCAAGTTAACGGGAGCGGTGGAGGCGTTTTTAAAAACTAAAATAAAACTAAGAGATGTCCGTACAGAAGCTCATGTACTTCAACAATGGCAAACTTATTCTAATACATCTTTCATGCAGACTCTATTACATTTGCTTACTCAAGTGACACGATATAGGCCACACACTGGGTGCAAAGTCAGCAATAGTATTTATGCACGTACTTGTATTACTCTGTGTGGGGTGGAATCCATGACTAGATACCATGATAAATGATCTCTTATTGAAATTTGTTTTATTTAACAGTACCTATTAGGGCAGATAACAAATAAAATAGGTTAGGTTCAACTTATGTCAAAGAACCGAATTGATTGACCCCGACTCCACCTGGTACGAGTCTGTCCTACCCCTAGAGTGGTTTTATAGCGCCGGAGACTTGGCAGTCTCAAAATAGATACAGAAATCCTTATGAATCAGTCCAGTTATTTTTTTATGATGAAGGGGATTTTTTTCTCATAAAATGGATTTATATTTACATTATAAATGCAAACATGAAAAAAATATCGATATTTTAGAAATCGATTTTTTGGGAATCGATACATCAGCTTACAATTCGAATCTATTTAAAAAATCGATCTTTTTCGGAAAGAATCGACATCCTTACTGACAATAATAATAAAAATGGCGTCAGTTTCACGGTAGAAATTGACTAAATATTGCAAAATTATTTGATTTACAATATTTTTTTCTCAATAAGTACGTGTTTCCGTATATTGAAACTTTGTGTGTGTGCTTATAAAAATGTAATCTTTCTGTAAAAATACGTATCAACACCAAACTCGACTGACGTCAATGGAAAGTCGTACCTAAGTCTCTAAAATTAACATCACTTCATAAACTTATTTTTTAGTTTATTTGCACTGTCACTACACATCACTATGGACTCAGTTAAAGAATCACTCAATGCTTTGACAGAAATGTTCCAGCAGAAAATGAGTGAGTTTCAACAGGGCCTTGAAAGTACACCAACATCTAACACAACCTTGGGAACGGAGTTCAACAGTTTCAGAAGCTTTGTGCTCTCTGCAATGAACACCCTACAGAGACAGGTTGAATTCCTTAGCACTGAGCTTGATCGTCAGGAGATGCGTAGAAGGCGCAAAATGCTATTGTTCCATGGAGTCAGCGAGCAGAAAACAGAAGATACTGCTGCGCAGGTCTGTAACATTGTGGGTGAACATCTTGGTGTGTCTGCCTTTTCTGCAGCTTGCATTAAAACTTCTCATCGCATGGGACGTCCTTCTGGCAAGAAACCAAGGCCAATATTGGTGAAGTTTACAGACACTGTAATGCATGACAAGGTTTGGTTCTCTAAAACTGGATTAAAAGGCAGCGGCATTACTCTGTCAGAGTTTTTAACAAAGAGCCGTCATGGCTTGTTTATGGAAGCAAGGCAGCGATTCGGTATCAGTAAGTGCTGGACTAGAGACGGCTTTATTCATATCATAGCCTCTGATGGTTCGCGTCATCGAGCTGAGTGTAAGGCTGATTTGGATGGCATACCTCAGTTGTCATCTAAGCCTCTGACTCAAGGCACTGCTAGTCTTACTTCGAGGTCCAAAAGAACAGTAAAGACTAAGTAAACGATGCATTTAATATTCTTTTCCTATACATAATTTTACTTTATCTTTGTTTATATTACATTAGTTAGAATATACATTGTAAACACAAATTTACATTCATCTTCCTCTTTATTTGTATACTAACGATTTGTCATAGCTTTACAAAGTTTACGGTTTGTTTTTATATAACAATTTAACTATTTAACCCTCATTTTTATTTTTAAAAGCTTGCTTTGAAACTAGTAGATAAGTAGTTCGTTTTGTTTATCTTTATGACAGCAGTACTGTTTCACATCTAGCCTCAGACAAAATATCTGCCGTGGCTACAAGGGTTTTTGCGTAGTATAAAACCCTGTTGTTCATAATATTTTATTTCTGTTTCTTTTTGTGAATTTTTAAGTATATAAATAAGTATTTTGTGTGTTTATAGTTACAATAATTTTTGTTTTTCTTCTGTGAATGCTATTAATTTTTCTTCTATGAAGTGAATCTTTACTTGCAACTGGCGGGTGGGTTTGTAAACCATTTTTTTCTTATATTTATTATTTATATTATATTTATAGATTGATATCTATGAGTTTCAATAATGATAATTTAGACGACAGCTTTTTTTCCCTCAGTGATTCAGATGGATTGAGCAGTAATGATAGTTATCACAGCATCCCTTCTTTAAGTGAAATTCTTGATTCTCATTTCTCAGATACTTTGAAAAACTTTAATGTTGTGCATATAAATGCCCAGAGTATTCCTGCACATTATCCTGACATGTTGTCCTCATTTTATAACGAAACTATACATGCGATATTAGTTTCTGAATCTTGGAGAGTAAGATGTTGAAGGCAAACATGGTTCCGCCTTCAACATCTTACTCTCTTCCCGGATTCCACTTGATTCGCAACGATCGCCTTGGGCGCGCTGGCGGTGGCGTGGCGATTTATTTAAGATCACACATTCCTTACACAGTTTTAAATACTTCGCAGCCATTGTCTAGTGCCGGCCCTGAACACCTATTCATCGAAATATTATTTGGACATTTAAAGCTTCTTCTCGGTATCTATTATAGTCCAAATGTTATAATTGATTATTTTTCAGCATTTGAAATTCTTTTAGAACAATACTCCTCGCTTTATAATCACACTATTGTTATGGGAGATTTCAATACTTGTCTTCTCAAAAATGATGCTAGAGCATCCCGTCTGAAATCTCTCGTTAATGGCATTAACTTACATATTCTCCCACATTCTGCGACTCATGCTTTTCCAAATTGTGTGCCTTCTCTTCTTGATTTAATACTTGTTTCTTCCATTGACCACGTTTCAAAGCATGGTCAATGTAATGGCTCCGCTTTTTCTTACCATGATCTACTTTACCTGTGCTATAAATTAAAATCTCCTAAAGCTAAGCGAAGGATCCTTCTCCGGCGCAATTTTAGTAGAATGGACCTGTATAAGTTACGAGAAGATACTGCTAAGGTTGACTGGTCAGTAGTTGCGAATGCTGTTTCGGTTGATGAGCAGATATCTATTTTTAACAGCATACTTACACAACTGTATAACATTCACGCTCCAATTCGTCCAGTCCGAATGAAGCATCTTCCTGCCCCCCTGGCTCACTGCCGAAATAAAAAAACTCCAAGAAAAAAAGAACACAGCGAAAACGAAATATCGTATGAATCCTAATGATTCCAACCGAGAGAAATATAACAGGGCACGAAATCGGTGCAATATGGTGTGTAGAGATAGTCAACGACGCCATATCTATAAATCTGTTGTTGAGGAAGATAACTCAACTAAAGTTTGGAACTTTCTCAAATCTTTAGGGGTTGGAAAAGCAAAGCGTAATGTAGAATCTCTTAATTTGAATTTAAATAAGCTTAATGCTCAATTTCTCTCTAGCGCCACTATAGACAGTGCTACGAAGAAAAATACACTTGCTCAACTTTATGCTATATCAACTCCTAATTTTTCCTCTTTTGTCTTTAGCCAAGTTACTGTCTGTGATGTTAAGAAGAATATATTAGCCATTACTTCCGACGCAGTTGGTTCTGACAGCATTAGTCGTAAGCTGATTATCCCATTACTCGATCTTTTAGCTCCTATCCTTACACTTATTTTAAATCGTTCCCTTGACACCAGTGTTTTTCCTTCATCCTGGAAAGACGGCCTAGTAACTCCACTCCCTAAAAAATCTAATCCGACATATGAGGATTACCGTCCTATATCCTTTCCTTTCTCTCTAAA